GTAGCATGCTATTATCTTATGTAATTTTTTGTCCTTTCTGTTTAAAAAAAATGAGACTGAGAATTGGATTGTTTCAGACTGCAAACTAGGTGAAAAGGTTGATGTATATGGAGATTTAGATGGTCACTGCAAACGAGGTCTTAAAGTACAATACATTGGTAAAAAAGTTTTTGTTGGGACTGGTTACCTCAAAATGTTACGTCATAATTTGTTTGATAATGGTGCTCAAAATAGGTTGTTTATTAATTTATCAGTATTACCTATTTATTATTATTATGCGATTATTTATTATCCCTATATGAGTATTAAAATATTTTTATATATAAGTTGGCAATTTTTATAAAAATCTTAAATATCCAATATCTTGGAAACAGTTAAGTTTGGGGTATGGTGTTTCATAGTCGAAACAGTCGGGAATGATGCAAACTACAACCCCCTAAAGGATCTAGGCCGACTTAACCTGTAACCCCGTATATGTGCGTCGTATAATAGTGAACTTTTACGGTCTGATAAAGAAAAGAAGAAGAAAGATGTGTGCGTGAGAACCCTCTCACGCACACATCTTCATCAATCAAGAAGTTGCACATGGTTTTGGCATCGCTTTGAATGTACGCAGTGCTCCGTTTTTCTTTATTTTTTTGGTCTTATGGCGGCTGTATACGCTCGTCGAGACACCACGAGACAGGCCGAGTACGAGTGTGTACAATGTACATGGTACTCTCGTCGCGCCGCGGCGCGTCTCGCGGCCCTCGTTGGCTTTCGAAAGCCTGTCGGTTATTTGCGCTCGAGTCAAAGGGTCTCGTGAGTCTCGCGATTAAATCGAGGGCGTACATAATCTATTCTACTCACCGTACATGGTTCTGTTACGGTAAATAGAAACCATCCATCATCTTCTTCGCCATGGCTTATTAATTTTCTTTTTATGGTAAATGTATAAAAAATTATAATAACTAATAGCACAAAGGCAAAACGCATCAACAGTTTCTATCTATCAGTATCTAGGTCCATTTCAGCGGGCATGCGGAGTTCAAATAATACGAGTGTGTACGTGGTGTGTTTCCGTGTCGAGCCCCTACGCGACGAGAGGCACGCGAGGCGACGAGACGAGCGTGTTTTGCCGCCGTATTTGATATTTTAAAATAAAATATACCTACATAAGTACGCTGAAGCTTTACATATTTATGTTTTGCTTTGTTTTGTAGAGGTTATTTCAAAATCTAAATTATACTTCTCCATCATAATGGTCCTTTCTGCGGGAATTTTATTTTTGACTAAATGTATGAATAATTCGCTTGATAAAAATAATTTGTTTATTTTAGTGGCGTGGCTGTCAGCATGTTGCTGCCTGCTTCAAAGTTACCTGTTATAAATGAAACAATCTATCCTGAAGGACATGTATTGTTACAAAATCTACCTTCAATTGTAGTTGGGTGGGTTGTAAACGCACAGCCCAATGAGATTATACTTGATATGTGTGCTGCACCAGGCAATAAAACTACACACTTAGGTGAGATGTCCAACAATAAGGTATGTTTAATAATTTCAACTCAATAGTTAAAAGGTTTAAGATTCAGTAGCACGTTAGCTATGTGTTTGACGTTGCTGGTCGTGGATTCGATTTTTACACTGGACCGTGTTTTGGGCGTTCATTGGGGCCAAGGCCCATGTTCATCATCAGTGAACTTGCGATAGGCTGTAATGATGATGTGATACCTCAACAGTACATGACAAATTTCTAGTGTAGGGGTAACTTTATAATACTATTATGCTTCTATTGTTTGTGACAGAAACATTTTTTCTATTGTGTATGTTTTCGCCGATATATGGTGTTCTAAAGTACTCCAACTTCCTCCGCATATATTGGCAGGATCCAAAACCTTGATTCAACTAGTTCTCACTGGTCATTGATGAACTTCCTACTATCAAAACCCGGCGGAACATAGGCCCATCCTCCCCACATTGAACCCATCTCCAACTGCATTTATATATATCGAATATGCTGAAAGTGTGTTTTGGGGCATATGAAAGATCTAATCACGTGAGAACTCTAGGTCTAGCCTTCTCCCCAGCAGTGATCTACTATGGTTCCAACGTCGATGACCGCAGGTCACATAGAATAGGGAGAAGGTCTTATCAAAAAACTTACATTTTTCTCTCCCGCCTTTGCCAAAGATCTCTCCGCTACAAGGAGCCAATTGAAAATTCGAAGATTATATGGACCAAAACGACTTATAATAACAATATTATTATGTTGATTTAGTGTTAAAATTTAAACCCGTTAGGCCGCGCTGCGGTCGAGTTATTAATAATTTTTTTATAGATAAGGGTGTGAGAAACCAACACATCCACCTAATGGTATGTGGATGCTGTGGCTCATAAACATCTACATTGATCCTCGATTAAGAATCAAAATGGAGACGCGTTGTCACCCCTCAGTACTAAGATAGATTGCCGCGTTTCCAATAAATACGAAACACAGCAGCATTAATACATTCTCTGTCCGCATATATAAAATCATGATTACACCCACATGTCCTCTTTAGATTTCGATTATAATAGTATAATATAGATCCCAGTAATGCAGTTTAGATGTTATTTATTTTTCATTTCTTTTGGGTTTTTTTAATAGCCAAAAACCCAATGAGGTCAACCCCGACCTCATGGACGTGTGAGTATGAAATTATGTTAATATATATAAATGTTTATAGCAAGGGTCGTGTAGGTGTAGGTAAGGTAAGAGTGACCTCATGAAAGTGTCAGTAGAAGTCTCCAATGAGGTCAGAGATTATCTCATGGACAGGTAACATGTTAAGCTGGTATTACGTGAGAGCATGATTCTTCTCTGGTCGAGCCGACTTACTCGTGCTACAACTATAATATAGCTGCAGTGCGGCTCTACCACGTTAAAGATTTACACAGTAAAAAAGGTGCAAGTGAATTCGGACAGGTTATAATATAAGCGACGCTATGGCAGAGAAATATTAATATTTTTATTAGCACTGCAAAAAGTTATTTACAGCTATAGACTGTACATCTTATTGTTAGGCACGAGCCTCCTCTCATTTATGAGGGATTAGGGAGAAGCAATTGATCAGTGCACTGGCACTAAAAAATTCACATTTCCTTGAATCCAAACATGAAGGTTTCCTTACGATAATTTCGTTCACCAGAGCACTTCATTGGTGCTGACGGAGATCTAACAATTAATAATAAAATCTAGTAGTATAAAGTTTAGCAGCCCCATAGTTGGTGAATTAGATGACACTTCTTGAGAAATTTGTGTAATAACTTTGCTATATTCCATTAACCCAATTCATATTTTATTAATTTTTTAGGCTTTCATAATCGCCTTGGATAAGACGCAACAAAAAGCAGACAAAATAGTAAAGAATTGCAAGGCTCACGGAATAACTTGTGTGAATGTGTTTGCTTTTAATTCTATAAACTGCTACACTGAAAGTGGTGATGGAGAAGTTATCAAACCACCATTTCCTTTAAATAGTTTTGACAAAGTTCTTTTAGATGCTCCTTGCAGTGGTTTAGGACAAAGACCATTATTAGTAAATAAAATTTCTTCAAAGATGTTGCAGTCTTACAAGTTTGTGCAAAGAAAATTATTTAATGCAGTAAGTCAAACTTTTTTATAAGTTATTGAAAAAAGATTCGCTTTTACATGATATAATTTTATTTTTAGGCTGTTAAAGTATTAAAGGTTGGTGGAATACTTGTGTACAGTACATGTACAATTACCGAAGAAGAAAATGAAAGAATGGTTGCATGGGTCCTTGAAAAATTTCCTGTCTTAAAGTTGATACCTGCTGAACCGCTTCTTGGGGGACCAGGTTTGCCTAATAATGGCTTAACAGATGAACAAAGGTAAAACAATATTATAATTAAAAATAATGTATATTTTTCATAAAACCTAAAACATTTGTAATATTGAGTTTATTAACTTAATAATAATACTGTTTAAAATATCTAAACACTTAGATAATACCCAACTAAAAGTATTATTAAAATAATTTTATTAAATTAGGGATGTAACGATCCATGACTGCAAACAATTATAATAAATAATAAATATTATGCAATAGAGGACAGGAAAGGAAGAGAAATTAATAGAAAAAAATTCAATGAAATCATTAATAAAATAATTATGAAAACAGAAACTAAGGTCACATTTTTGCTTCAAAATCGAATAATCTAATTGTACTAATTAGTGATAGATTCAGAGACATATCCCTTGGGCATCGTAAAATATGGGGATATATGAATGTGAGGAGTGCCTTCAAAAGGGAATGCTAAAGCAAAACCTAATGGCTTGCGATAAATGCCACCACCACCTCGTTTACACCACCAGACGTAAAATACTTAGACCACGATTGGTAGCAGTATCAAAGGTGCGTGACGTCTGTTGTTTCGACTGTCAATTCGCCTGCCAAGTGTGATGATTAAAGTAAATGTTTCCTGTAAAGGAAGCATTTACTTTAATCATGCCTACATGGCATATATCGACTTTACAAGCGAACTTTTAGGGGTTGATGAAGGGCCTACCTTGCACGGCGTGGTGAGTATAGCTATCTCTTTCGAGGTATGCATCCGTGCTAGAAAAGATGGACTAAACATATGGATAAGAAGGAGCAAGAAGCCTTCGTTCTTCTAGGATACTTTGTAGCCTGTATATGGTATCTTTACATCCTTGGATTAAATCAATGAAGACTAAATACTACTATTTTACAATAACAGTAAACATTTAAATATGTTCATTTTGTACTAATAATCACATATCAACGTTATTAATTATTTAATTTGAGTTATTTTATGTGTTTTCTACAGAATTATGGTACAACGCTTTGGTCCCGAAAATGACTCTCTGAGGCCAGTTGAAGACATTTACAAAAACAGTATAGGATTTTTCATTGCAAAGTTTACAAAAATTAAATCATAAAAATAATACATGTTAAGAATAAAATATGAAGGGTTAAATATCTCCCAATTTTTTATATTTTTTCTATTTTGACCCATAAACCAGATGCTGCCTTTAGTAACAAAGAGTTTTTGTCTATGGTGACTGGATTTTCAGTTTTAGCACATGCAGAGAATTTGAAATTTTTTAATAATGACACCATGGCTATTTTAGCCGAGATCATCGCAAAACGCATACCTGAAAAAAGACAAAATATAACCTGCTGAGTTTACCTTTATTCTAACAACTCACTAAATAATTAAATCACACAGTAAAAATTTATATTTTGAGTGTGTAAAATTTTACAAACAATCACCGCCAGCCTTTGTTAAGAGTCAAATTCCGAACATACTCCTTCTCAAAAATGCACTATTAGTGAGAGTCCTTAGCTCGTCGTTCGTCGTTAGCTAAACATTTATTCTTTAGAGATATTTGATACAATGCTAGCAAGCCGCGAGCCTGGTTTATTAGTTCACAATGCCGCGGTTTTGCGATGATTCCCCGACGAAAGCATTACCAGCAAGAATCAAAAACAAGTGCAGTAGAGCTCGCCCGCTAAAGGAAACGCGGATTATCTATGACACTAAGATCAACACCTCATGACCATAGATGTTGTAAAGCACCCGAAAGTCAGGGTTAAAAATAAGTATGTACTATTCACGTAAATACTTATTACTTCTTCTTTCATCATTCATCATCGTTACAGTCCTTCACAAGTCCACTGCTGAACATAGGCCTCCCCCAAGTAATGCCACAAAGCACGGTCTTGAGCCACCTGCATCCATCGACTTCCTGCATATCTTACCAGGTCGTCACTCCATCTAGTGGGGTTCGCCTTACACTATGCCTACCGGTACGAGGCTGCCACTCGAGAACCTTTCTTCCCCATCGGTTATCGGTTCTTCGAGCTATATGGCCGGCCCATTGCCACTTCAGCTTACTAATCCATTGGACTATGTCGGTCACTCTGGTTTTACTGCGGATATCCTCATTTCTGAGTCTATCACGCAGAGAAACTCCGAGCATAACCCTCTCCATAGCTCGCTGAGCGACCTTGAGCGTCCTCATACGGCCAGCAGTGAAGGACCACGTCTCAGATCCGTAAGTCATCACTGGCAACACGCACTGGTGGTACAACCTAGTTTTCAGAGGTTGAGGTATACCTGACGAGAAGATGTGTCGTAATTTCCCGAACGCTGCCCAGCCGATTTGAATCCGTCGATTGACCTCTCGGTCGAAGTTGGACTTACCTAGTCGGACTATTTGTCCCAGGTAAACGTACACGTCAACAACTTCGAGCATAGTGCTCCCAACAACTACCGGCATAGGTATGACATGTACATTAAACATGATCTTTGTTTTGTCCATGTTCATCTTAAGACCTATCCGTTGGGAGACACAAGGACTATATCGTTGGCAAATCGAAGGTGAGTGATGTACTCGCCATTGATGTTAATTACGTATCCTTTCCAGTCCAGTAGCTTGAAAACGTCTTATAATGCAGCGGTGAAGAATTTCAGGGATATAACGTCACCCTGTCTTACACCTCTCTGCAGTTGGATAGGTTTAGAACTCTGGTTCTGTACTTGGATAGCCATCGTAGCCCTACTGTACAAACATTTCAGCACTTCGATATACAGACAGTCAACTTGGCACCGCTAAAGGGACTGTAGCACCGCTCAAATTTCAACGGAATCAAAGGCTTTCTTATAGTCCACATACGCCAGGCAAAGTGGCAGATTGTACTCTTCGGTCTTCTGTACAATCTGCCGCAGGGTATGTATGTGGTCTATGGTACTGAAGCCTTTTCGGAAACCGGCTTGTTCGGGAGGCTGGAAGTCGTCGAGTCTGCGTGCGATATGATTCTCAGAAGGGAAATCGGTCTGTAGTTCTTCAAGAGACCGTTGTCGCCTTTCTTAAATAACAAGACCACCGCACTTCTGCTTCACGCCTCCGGAGTAGTGCCACCATGGAGGACGGAATTGAAGAGCTTCTGAAGGACTTCAAGTACCGTGTTCCACCCGCTTTCAGAAGCTCCACTGTAAATCCATCTTCGCCTGGGGCCCTGCCAATTTAAGGTGCTGGAGAGCAATTCTAATCTTGCTCAGACTGACGTCCGGGATATCATCGGAATAGTGTCGGATAAGACTTGCTGTTGGATCGTTACTTACACTTGCGTGTGGCTCCAACGATGATGTGTACAGCTGCCCATAGAACCTCTCAATCTCACTCTCATATCTCAGATGTCCCGGAAACGATGCTGCCAAAATCATTCTTCAGCTTTGACAGTTGGCTCTTTCTGGCAGACAGATCTCTGGCAAAGACTTTGGAGCCCTGGTTCCGCTCGATCGCTTCTTTAATACGAGCAGTATTCAAATTGCGTAAGTCTCGCCGCATGCATTGGGAGATCTGTCTGTTCAGTTGCCTGTATGCTGTCAAATCTGTTGACGATTGCAGCCTCATCTCCCGTCTAATAGCCATGAGATTAAGAGTGTGATCGGAGAGTTTTTGTGTTCTTCTGCGGCGGGTCTTGCAAAACTTAGCTCCGACCGCATGGACAGTTTCCACGAGCTTGTCATTCATATCGTCCACTACATTGCAGTCTTCTAGGCACTAAAAGCGGTTACGTAACCCGGTTAAAGGTTTCGGGATTCTGGATTAGATCACGAGGGGGACGGAGCGTTGACTTCATTAACGAGACCTCTCCAACTAAACGTTTAAGTTCAGTGTGCCTCTAACCATTCGGTGATCGCTGCTGGTTTTCACCCTTGCGATCACTGAGACATCACTGAACAGTTGGCGTCTGGTAGTCATAATGAAGTCAATCTCATTTTTTGTCGAACCGTCGGGGCTCGACCAGGTCCACTTTCTGTGGGGCAGCTTCTGGAAGAAAGAGTTCATCACAAAAAGTCCCTTTTTTCCATGAAATCGGCCAGCTGTTGGCCCCTTGGGTTCCGTTGCCCTATCCCAAATTTCCCTACCTTCAGCTCACCGTTCTTTCTTGTGCCCAGTTTTGCGTTGAAGTCTCCCACTAACACCGTATAGTGAGTTTTGGAGGAACGCATGGCTCTAGAAATATCCTTATACATTTCCTCCACCTCCTCATCGGGATGTTTCGACGTTGGCGCGTAAACCTGTATGACCTTCAGCGAATACCGTTTGGTGATTCTGAGTATAAGGTACGCAACCCACGTCGATACACTCCCAATCTTTAAAACGTTGTTAACGAGAGGCTTGTGGACGATAAATCCAACACCTCCTTGGGACAGATGGTCGCCCTCCCGGTTATAGAACAAGTTGTCAGATTCAAGAATCACCGTGTCCTCCCCTCTCTTCGGACCTCGGATAATCCTATAATATTCTAGCGCAACTTGTCTATCTCTTCTTTCAGCTCCAGGATCTTCTATTCAGACCTCAGGGACTGCCTATTTCCCTCTGTCGCCTTTTAAGACACCCACGGGAAGATATGGGGTAGTGGATATTCTTAACCGCCACTACACGGCATGACTTCTTCTTTATCTTCCCGTAAAAGCTCACTGCTGGACATTGATCTCTCTCATTGTAGGTAGGGTTTCCCTTTGACAGGCGGATAGGCAATCGCAGTACCAGTCGTCTCATCTTTGACGCTGGTGCTAGTCGCAAATCTGGGTATTTTACGCCTAATGGAAACGAGATGGTTATACCGCCACCTACCGGAAGCCAACAGACTTTTTGACATCGCCGGACGATCCCAGCGTTGTTGCCGATTCTGCCGCTGATGTGGTACTTCAGTGTATGGAACCTTTTGTTCCATTTTCTGTAGTGCCCATCGGAAGCAGATCCCAGCTATGGTTTGGTCGCTCCTGTAAAATAGCATCACGCTAAAAGGAGTGCTACCGAGCCTGGACTCTCATAAACTTCTCGAGATGTAAGCACCAGCGCTCTTAAAAAGAATTATGATTCCGCCTCAAGGTCACCCAAAAGAGTCATTGCCAAGGCAAGGTCAGAGCATATCGGCAGAAATTGGCGAGAAGCTAGTTCGCCTTCTTTCGGGAACCCGTGCATTCTGGTCTCTTGCCAAGGCTATTAAAACTTCTGTCAGCCATCTCTTCTATCTCTGCATAGAGAGGACGACTCACTGGCCCATGCTGTAAAGGAAAAAACCGATCTGTTAGGCTCTATCTTTGCGTCCACCTCGACTATTGATGACGGAGGGAACACACCGCCCACCATCCCGCAGTGTGAGTGCTCCATCCCGGGTGTGAGGTTTACACAGCGCTTCGTTCGCAAAGCATTCCTCTCCCTGGACGTCAACAAGTCGACTGGACCTGATGGAATCCCTCCCATTGTGCTGAAGACGTGTGCTCCTGAGTTGGCGTCGGTTTTAACGCGTCTTTTCCTGTACTACTTCTCCCAAGGCGTAGTCCCGAATTCATGGTAGACAGCTTTGGTAAACCCAATCCCTAAAAAAGGCAACCGTTCAGACGCGTCCAACTATAGGCCTATCGCCATCACCTCCTTGTTCTCCAAAATAATGGAATTTGTTATAAACTGCCCGCTCATGAGGTACCATGACGATCACCAGCTGTTTAGCGACCATCAATAATACGGCTTTCGTCAGAGTCGATCAGCTGATGATCTTCTGGTCTATCTGACTCATAAATGGGCGGAGGCAGTAGAGTCTAAGGGGGAGGCATTGGCCGTTAGTTTTGACATAGCGAAGGCCTTCGATCGGGTTTGGCACAAAGCGCTTCTTTCGAAGTTTCCTTTTTATGGACTTCCCGCGAAATCGTGAAATTGGATCACCAGTTTCCTTGCTGATCGGAACATCAAGGTCGTAGTAGACGGTGCATGATCTAATTACAAGCCTATTAAAGATGGCGTTCCTCAAGCTGCGTGCTATCACCATCGCTGTTTTTTCTGCATATCAATGATATGTTGCAAACTGGTAACATACAATGCTATGCGGACGACAGCACTGGTGATGCTTTATGCACCGGCCGTGCCAATATTTTTCGGGAAAGCGTCGCCGAGTAACGAAACAAACTTGTATCCGAAATCGAGACCTTGTTGAATAAAATATCGGATTGGGGGCGACTAAATATAGTCCAGTTCAATTCCCAGAAGACACAAGCTTGCGCGTTAACTGCTAAAAAGAACCCCTTTGTCGTATCTCCTAGTTTGAAGGCACTCCCCATGCTCGTGCTGCTCTCTGTGTCATTGGTTACTTGGGAGAGAAGGCCAAATTGGCCTTTAAAAAGCTTGGCGTGCTCATTAGAGTGGGACAGTATTTCATGCTGGTACACCGCTTGCAATTTTACAAGCAGCAAGTTCGGCCTTACATGGAATACTGTTCTCATCTCTGGACCGGGCACTCCAGTGCTAACTCCTTCCACTTGACCGCATCCAGTGCAGAGCGGCTCAAATCGTCGACGACGGAGTTGTTGCTGATCGACTCGATTTATTGGCGCTGCGAAGGGATATTGCATTCCTGTGCATTTTCTATCGCATCTGCCACGGGGAGTGCTTTGAGGAATTGTTCGGAATAATTCCAGCCGCCAAATTTCACAAACGCACATCGCATCAAAATTCACAATACCATCCACAACAGTCCACCACTGTGCGTTTTACTAGGAATTTTCTTCCACGTACAACCTCTGTGTGTAATTGTTTACCACCGGCGATTTTACCGGACCAGTACGATTTAGGGACCTTTAAAAAAAGAGCTTACTTCTTTCTAAAAGCCCGGCAACGGACCTGCAATTCCCGTAGTGTTGCAGTTGTTCATGGGCGGCAGTGGTCACTTATTATCAAGTGAGCCGCACGCTCGTTTGCCCCCCTCTTCTATTTATAAAAAAAAAAAAACATTTCCCTTAGTCGCTTCTTACACAACACCCACGGGATATATATATATATATGGATATATATATATATATATATATATATATATATATATATATATATATATATATATATATATATATAAACCAAACACATCTGCCACATAAAGCTAGATAAGTCTAGAAGTTTTACTTACCAATACAGTTCCTGGGTCCAGCACCAAAAGCCAAATACAAATGAGAGGGTCTGTTATTTTTTTCTTCTCCTATAAACCTCTCAGGTCTAAACTCATGAGGCTCCGGATATATATTAGGGTCCATATGAATGCCATACACGGGAATGGCCAGCAAGTCACCAACATTTATTTTAATATTTGTTCCAGGTAAGACATAATTTTTGGTGCATTTTCTTTCTACTCTTGACAGTGGTGGATGCAAGCGTAATGTTTCTAAAAGAATAGATTACATGCCTTTTATTCATAATTTATTTTTGTTACACTATAGAAGATAATGTGGAGGACAGCTAAGTTGTATAATATGCATTTATTTCGAAAATTTACACCAAAATAATTTCTTTCTTTCAGACGTAAACCTCTGTGAGAAATAAATGGTAGAAACAAATTGATTCCTTGTGTTCCGTCTTACTGAATTTTAAAGACAAACTAGAACCACATTGTAATCGAAAGGAAAGACAAATGTTGGCAAATTATTCCACTTTTTTGCTGTACACATTACAAACGATAAAGTTTGGTTCGAATGTGTGGTACGTCACAAAAAAAGGATAAGAGACTGGCCGAGCGTCTGGTTGTCCGACCGTAGAAGTTGTTTTAACCGTGTAGTGTTCGCCTAAGGATCAATTTGTTTTCCTTATTTATTATTCAAAGATGTGTTAACTCACGGGCTAAGCTGTCTTTGTTAATATTATAGTACTTAACACGTATGTACGTACGTACGTACGTATATGAATTTATTAATTGTAACTGTAAGTTACATATGAATTTATTAATTGTAACTTACAGTTACAATTAACAATTTCATTACGACGTGCTCGTAAATGAAGATTAAGAAAAACAACGTGGAGACATTCGAAAATATGTCAATTCTGCCAACACGCACTAGAGCAACTAAGGGACTAATTACTCCTTATATTTATTAGAAATGAGAAAATTAATTTCAGTATTGGAATAGCTGTAACTACAATACAACAAACTATAATACAACATAATAGAGTCCGGTACCTAGCAGGAACCCTTCGAGATAGGTCAGCTCTGACAATAATTCATATGTGATTTCTTTTCCCTCTGTAACTTCTTGGATATGTGCACGTAGTTTTTCTTGGATGTCCGGTTTGATGGCCAATGTGTGAATGGCGAAAGACAACAAAGTGCTCGATGTTTCATACCCAGCTATTAAAAAGAGGAATGATTGCGCATCTATGGTGTCATCATCCAAATCTGGAAAAACAATTCATATTATTTCGCCGCATTGCAGTATTCAATCTGAAAATTTGCATAAATGCCATATTTTTTTTTAACTTGAGTCTTTGCAGTACACTGTAATCATGATAATAGCCAAAGTAGACAAATTCGCAATCGCAGTAAGTCACCACTTGTTTGTCACTCCTATTATTTCTGGCCCTGGCGATGACAAGTGGTAGAGCCTCCATGTAGCTGATCTATGGTTGCAGCACGAATGGGTCGGCTCGGCTGAGACAGAATCAACAACAGTCTAACAGAATACCAGCGTAAAATAGCTGCTGTTTCGTTTGACGAGTGAAAAGAACCGGAGGTCAATTTTAGCGAGGTATTCAGAGGGAACAATGCATTTTAATTCCCAATCAAAGATGATGCAAGTAATGTTCCCCGCTGACAAGTGTAAGCAAACGAAAATACGGTGATTGTTTGGGATAGCTCGAGTAAACTCTATAAAAATAAAAAAAATAAAAAATAAAGAAAAGTGACGCTTGGGAAGGTATTTCAAAAGCTCTAGGAATCTCAACGCAAAATGCATAGTATATTCATCATTATCATTACAGCACTTCACAAGTCCACTGTAGAACATAGACCTCCGCTAAGGATTACCACAAAGCACGGTCCCGAGCCACCTGCATTCGTCGACTTCCTGCAGTCCTGCGTCTTACCAGGGGACTCCCTACAAGTCGTCTACCAGGACGAGCCATGCACTCGAAAACCTTTCCTCCCCATCAGTTGTAGGTTTCTCGAGCCATATGACCCGCCCATTGCTACTTTAGCTTACTTATCTGTTGAGCTATGTCGATTACTCTGGTTGTACAGTGGATATCCTCATATTAAATTGCAATCGCAATTTTAGGGAGAAAGAAAAGAAAATTACATTATCGTAAACAACAGGAGTTGATAATCTTAGTTACAAAATGTATAAATGGTCTGGCAAACATGCGATGCTAAAAGAGTGTTATCTCCATAAAAATCCGAAACCACCATTATTTCTTTTCTTTAGACTAGAGACCGCTGTATGTTAAGAAATGTACGCGGTACCTAACAGCACTAGTTTCTGTGGCAACATATTTGTAGTGACTGAATAGTATGGATGCTAAAATCGTCAGAAAAATTGTTTCTTAAAACATTTATTTGATATATCAAAACATCTATAAACTTGTACCTATAACATTGTTTCCTAGTGAATACGTTAAATAATAAACTTAAGAATAGTCATTATTGTTTATTTTGTATATATTGTTGAGACTAATAGAGATTTTAACTGTGATATCGCAAAATTGGCTTTAGATAATTTATGTTATGTTATCTTATGTCATTTGAGCATGTACTGTTTAATATACAAATACACATAACATAATATTTTATAATATATTCATTGAATAAAACATTTGAATTAAATAAATAAACATACTCCACAGTGGTATATATTACAGTCTAGAGAGAACTCTTTCCAAAAGTAATTCAACTCCTTCGCAGTCTCCAATCTCATTAACACGCGCTGCACTCCTCCATCCATCTATTACAGCCTACAAAAGTCCACTGCTGAACATAGGCCTCCCCCATAGACTGCCTCATTGGGGAATTTTGCCATAGTTGCCACGCTTGGCGAGCGGGTTGTCCACTGCAGTTTGTATTATTTTGCCATATCAGGAAGATACTACTGCCCATCACCGGTTTCAATTTCGCTCTGTCGCCTCTTACGGTCTTACGACACCCACGGCACAGTATAATAATATTATAATAACCCTTTTTATACAAACATAGTTTAATAAAATTTTTGAACTTTGCTAAATATGTACAGTACTCGTAAGTAAACTAAGCCCAGTTGAGGACATAATTACCTACGCTCCATGGAAGCGATGGGACTGCGACTTTTAATGTTTTTGATAATTTCTTTTACATTTTTGTTATGTAGTGATCAATCAATGGATTTAAATAATTAGCTTACAAATACAATTTAAGTGGGTAATTTAATGGCGTCGGTTAATCTCAGCAAAAGACAATAGTTTAAACACGGAAAACAATTTAATATTAACATACAACAACTTGTAGAGCTATAGATCTTTAACTTTGTCATTACGGCGCAACCTTTTACAAGTTTTGGCGGGAGCATACGCAATAAGTTCATATATAAAAAGATCGCGGAGATAAATTAAAAAAGTGACGCCACTCGACCACTCCTCTTGTAGCTGCACTCGCTACTGAGAGTACCGCGTCGTTCGCTTAGGAGTCTCGTAGTTTGTGTGAGTGTGCCGTTTTGAACGTTTGTAGGGAGTTTCCTAACTGTTCCTATATATTAACTGTGCCCACGGGACGATATGGGGTAGGGGATATTCTTACACTGCCACTATACGGTACTGATTAGAAAATTCATTCTGTTGAAGCAATACCAAACCACGGGTATTGGATTTTCACTCACCGACTCGCAAAATGCATCATTTAGCGTATTCTTGCACGGGCTTTTAGCAGTGGAGAGGGTGAAACTTCTTTTACTTTTACTGTACTGTACACTGTTCATATAAGAGACCCGCGGTCAGCACGGGCTGATAACCTCAGCTGGATCCTTTCCATAAAATTGCGAAGGCTTTCCTTTTGCGTTAACTTTACTTGAAACTGCCGATATTGCTTCGAAATTATGATGATGACCAAAATTATTCCCACTAATGTCCTTGATAAAACATCGGGTATGTTCCAAAATAGAACCCAGTGCAATGCAAATGACGTCATGAATCGACGCTATACTGGTGATTCGTTCCAACACATAGGACATTATATGACGTCATACATTTGCACCGTATTGGAAAAGTGTTAGCGATTATTTTGTCATTTTGTGCTCCAAAAAGCCTCCATTATATCCTCCTAATGGAGATACCAGCAATTATTCTATAGTTTTTTGTATTTGAATAAATAAAAACAAATTCCGGCATGCTTCATTTAGCGCACACACAATTAAAAATTGTTTTATTATGGCCGGATATCCGACACAATATGGCGGCGGCACGCCAGTACAGTATAGTGTCAATTGATGACGTCATTTGTATTCGGCAGTTTACTGAAAACGTTTTGGAACATACCCATTATATTATATTTTTATGCGCAAGAAATTTTCTACGTCCTTCTGGTCAAGGTAATTAACCCCTACTGCATTTTGCGTTATGGTCAATTCTTTTTGTTCCTGTTTACAGTTTGATTTCTTCATTGTTATAATGCTCAATTTTAAGGTTTACTTGAATACGAGTAAATTGAAATGCGCATTACGACTCGTAGCATTTGTAACAGACTAAGGCAAGGAGCCCATTGTTTCATCCTGATGATGGAGCCGCCACGCTCAACGCCTGGGTTAGATAAGCATATGAATAAGTATATAACCGTGGATAAGGCGCGCAGGGGTGATACCCGATACCGCTGTGTCGGCGATGATGGGGTCGTCATACACGCAGTAATAAGAGTAAATAATATATTAAAATTGTTTGCTTAATACACATTAACTTACACTAAAACATTTCATGCTTTTATCTACTATACATATGACTTATATCTGCTATATATACGACCTGGTAAGACATGCAGGAAGTCGATGGATGCAGGTGGCTCAGGACCGTGCTTTGTGGCGTTACTTGGGGGAGGCCTATGTTCAGCAGTGGACTTTTGAAGGGCTGTAATGATGATGAATGATGATCTACTATACTGTTACGAGCTTGAGGTTCGTGACAATAAAAATTGCCGATAAAATTACCTAAATTAACACTTTAATTTACTTTACGCAAATTAAAACTAAAAACACTAACAATTAAACACACTAATTCACTTAATTCCGCTCCAAAGCTTCGCTTGTGTCGCTGAGTTCAACTCTACCCCGATCGCGTCTTGCAGCGCCTATATATTTAAATTAGCAAAGAAATATCCAGAATGTTCAAGTAAACACGCGCAAGGTACCGAGCGTTCGAGTTTCGACTAGGCGCTGTCGGTTAAGTGATTTGTTATGTCATTTTCTCAATGCTCCCCTCGCTCTCGTTCCTGACACTAGATGGCGCTAGTTGACTTGAGTGCGTAACACTGCCCCCTCCTAAGACATGCTCGTCCCGAGCATTATCGGCCCCATAATAACGCGCCAAGCGATTCACATGGCCGATCTTAGGAGTCCCTCTTGCGCCTTTCTGTAACGACTCCGCAATGTCAAGGGCTGTTCTATCCCGATGTGCACCAACATTGTACAATTTCGGTGCTACTCTACTACGTGTCTGAGGTCCCCGCACGGCCGCACAACTTGTACATGTACGACACCAATCCTCGACATCGTCACGATAATGGACCCAGTAAAACTGTTCTCGGACCTTCAGTAGAGTTCGTTTAACTCCCAGATGGACTCTTGAACGACCATTATGGCACAGCTGTAGAACATTCGGCACTTTAGCTTTAGGGACAACCATTTGCAAACGACAGCTGTCCCTTCGACCATTGTCCCATTTACGGCACAGGACTCCATCCTGAATCAGCAAGCTGTCCCATTGGGCCCAATAGCTTTTCGTGGTTGAACTCATCGCTGAGACGTCCCTCCATTTAGGCTTGGTAGCACGGGCCTTCATCCATCCCAGAATCGGCTTGATGTCCGGATCTTCCTGCTGTGCATGTCGTAGGCTGTCCTTCCACCCGTTGCTGAGGTGGTCTGTCCTGAGCATCCTCACGGATACCACTTCCTTACTCTCTTGCCTACTACAATGGTTGCAATCTTCAGGACAAGGTCTTCTTGTCAATGCATCTGCGTTGCCGTGAGATTTCCCGCTGCAGTGTCTGATAGTAAAGTCGTATTCCTGCTGCTGCTGGGCGGTGCTGTTAGCCGCACTTCCTTTCTGAGACCGTTCACCTTCCCTTCCTAGGGTGTGCTTATGGCAGCTGGACCGAAGATGGCCCTTTTCCCCACAGCCATAGCACCTAGGGCTGTATCCTTTGCTGCGGTCACGGACTGTAGCTGCTGCAACCTCCCTGACGCGATGGGAACGATGATCCTGCCGCACGGCTTCCACTTCCAGTGCATGGGCCAAGGCGTCCTTAAGCGTCTCGTGGTGCCCGAGCCTCACAGCAGCTCTGACTTCCAGGTCGCGGATGCCGTCGATGAATGTCTGCACCAGGTTCCCTTCAATGAGCGCAGGTACAGACCGGTATGCTTTTCGCACCAGCTTCTCCACTTCTAGAGCCCACTGCTGCAGGTTTTCGTTGATGCGCTGCACACGATCTTTAAGCTGCGCACGAAAGACGTGTTCCAGATGAGCGTCGCCATATCTCGCCTCCAATGCCTCAAGGAGTTGCTCATAAGTCACTTCCTCACCGAGAGCTTCCAGAACTGTTAAGGCCTGGTCACGCAGGCCTAGTGTGAGAGCAGTCATGGCCTGATTTTTATTCCAGCCGTTCGCCTTCATAACAGCCTCGAACTGGATGTGTAGGCTGACCAGGAAGAAGTCCCGTCGAATGGTGGCACCTTGAACCCACGTAGCGAGAAGGTGTTGTAGCTGCTACGGGAGCTGTAGCTCCATCTCCAAGTTTGAGTTCGTCAAGTGATTTCCTCATGTCAGCCATTACGTTGTCAACCCGATTGTTCACTTGGTCAATTCGGGTTTCATGTTCTTCGATTCGTGTTTCAGCTTCCGACAGGCGGTTGTCATGTTGAGAAACCCTATCCTTCACCTCCCTTATCTCTTTCCCAAAGGTAGCGTGAAGGTCCTTCATGAGGAGCATCTGCTCTTCCGACCGACGAGCCTGTTCCGCCTGCTGATCTTCCAACCGACGGGCCTGTTCCTCCTGTCGGCGGAGCTGTTCCTCTTGTCCGCTCTGCAGCTGCTCTTTTAACTGATGGACCTGTTCCTCCTGTCGGCGAGCCTGCTCTGCCTGTCCGCCGCAGCTGCTCTTCCAACCGACGGACCTGTTCCTCCTGTCGGCGAGCCTGTTCCTGCAGCATCACCATCAGGGCGCCTAAATCAGGTGCTGCAGATGCAGGAGCTAATGACGGGCCCGCAGCCTCCGTGGCTGGCAGTTGGCCCTCCGACATCTGCGCCGTTGCACCACCAAATCTCCGCTGGTCCGTCTCATGCTGGCGTTGACTGCGGGTACGGACACCCTCCGTTTCTTCCTTAGGTAAAATCGGCATGATTTTTATCCCACTTCTGACACCAATTGTTACGAGCTTGAGGTTCGTGACAATAAAAATTGCCGATAAAATTACCTAAATTAACACTTTAATTTACTTTACGCAAATTAAAACTAAAAACACTAATAATTAAACACACTAATTCACTTAATTCCGCTCCGAAGCTTCGCTTGTGTCGCTGAGTTCAACTCTACCCCGATCGCGTCTTGCAGCGCCTATATATTTAAATTAGCAAAGAAATATCCAGAATGTTCAAGTAAACACGCGCAAGGTACCGACCGTTCGAGTTTCGACTAGGCGCTGTCGGTTAAGGGATTTGTGATGTCATTTTCTCAATGCTCCCCTCGCTCTCGTTCCTGACACTAGATGGCGCTAGTTGACTTGAGTGCGTAACAATACTATATACAGTAAGGAGAATCAGCCATAATCGCCACACTTGGCAAGTGAATTGACTATCGCAATACCAAAAACCACATTGTTGACGCTGCTCACCGTCGGTGCTATCGTCCGGTCTAGGCGTTTTACTGCTATTAAAGGCCATTAAAGTTTTCCGGCATTCATAGTCTATGTGGCGATACACACAGGAAGATAGAGGATGATGGATTTTTTACACCGCCGTCTAACGGCTAAAGGTAGAGATAAAAATATACGTTAGAGAACTACAGCTCAAAGTAGCTTCCTTATTCTTTTGTAGAATAAGGAAGCTACTTTGACATTTGACAGGCCTGTTGGAGTGGTTAGGGTTTGTGTGATGAGCACATTTGTTGTGTGGGTGTAATTTATTATAATATTTATGTATTTAGAAATATATATATGTTTTGTTAGTACCCTAAGTTGGCTTGGTTTTTTTTTTTTATTCCGCTATATAAAAGTCATCATCGTTCATCTGTAAAACTTCGACTAAACACTAGGCACTCATAAATAATGAGCTAAACTAGTTACCTCGCGCACTATTGGCTGACTGTCGTCGGTTTGGATACTATATCTTGAGATATTTACTAATAGGCTACCCACCACCTATTCTACCATGCGGCCCGACTTAACCAGTCGTCCGGCTACACGCCGGCTATCTTCTAGCAGATCCGTGGGTTCCAAACCCTATGCCCGACTACCTAGCAGATCCGCGGGTTCTAAAACCTATGCCCGACTACCTAGCAGATCCGCGGGTTCTAAAACCTATGCCCGACTACCTAGCAGATCCGCGGGTCCTACCACCTGTGCCAGCATACTACCTACGCCGGTCAACTACAATCAGAGCCTGTATCTTCATCTAACTACCTCTACCACCAGTGAATTATAAGCGCAAAGCTTAGTGCGAGTGAAACGAACACCCGAATCCACGACCTTGGCTATTTAATTGTTATAATTTTACTAATAAAACTACTACGTCACATTTTGAACTGCACGTAAGTCACTTGTTTCTTTCGTTATATGGAAACTTAGCGACAAGATATACTACTTATTCATTCCAAGAATGCCGTTACCTCTCGCCGCGCTCCTTCATTCCGCGCCTCAAGCGTCGCCCTATTAGTACCGATAGCAGCGCCTTCATAATGTTTTACGTATTTGAAATATTTTTAAAGTAAAATAAAACTATAAAAATTTTAATTACAATATTTTATAATTGTATAGGACACGTTCCTATTCGCTGTTATTATTTTTCACTTTACTAAAATCTTTTATAATATGCATTTTATTTCCTTGTTTGCTCTCAATTTCTGTGTACAGGACAACAAACTACTTACTTAGTTTTGCTCAATTTGACAAAAAATAGTCATCATGTTTATGTGATATTATAGATAAACATGATATCTTTTTTCTCTATTGTACCGTCAGCTGTTATATCACTGTCGACGACGGCAAATTTGAAATTAACGCATAATATGGAACACTTTTTAACCAAGAGCGAAGATTTGAGGATGACTATCAGTTAATGGTATTTGTGGGGATACAAGTACAAAGGTTGTATAATATAATTATCGCTCTTGTAGTTTTCATTGTAATTTCCTAATGAACTCAAAAACAACGAAACATTTGCTAATTATCGTGGAATGTTTTTATTATATTATCTCCATTATTAAAAACTACGACAAACCGCATTTCAGTTAATTAACAATTACAATGATAATATGATAAATAATTACGAATGCACGATATTAATGATTTATTAATTATAAGATAACGAACATTATCAAACTCGACCAGCTTTCAATTATGAAATGTAATATGCAACTAACATTATATATGACAAATTCTATTCTATCTATTCTATCTTCTCTATTCTATTCTATTATTACTATAAATACGAAACAAGGAACTATGCAAATTGTTATTGTTAAATCTATATCCTCATAACCGAGAAATAAATATCTATATTTACTAGCTCTCATAGTAAAAAAAAGGTATACGAAAATATTATTTTATTACATGGTAGAGCCATGCTACAGCTATATTAGTAGTACAGTTGTAACGTGAATGGGTCGGCTCGACCGGAGAAGGACCACGCTTTCACAGAATACCAGCGTAAAATATTAGCTCAGTACTGTTGTGTTTCGTATGGTGAGTGTTCAGTAGACCGCTTTTACTGAAAACGAGGAATTTCATCTTAGTTCTCACGGGTGACAATGCATCTGCAGTTCGTAGTTGAGGATAGATGTAGATGTCTATGAGTCACAGCAACTACTTACTATCGGGTGGTCTGTCTGCTCGTTTGTCACCCATATCCTATAAAAAAATTAAACTACCATTTTGTATTTTATACCCCGGCTGTGTCATGTGCATATATTTACTATAACATCACTGAAAAGAAGGTAACTACGTTTTTGTAAAGCTTAACATTATATATACTATACTAATGTTAAACACTTGTTGCCCGCGGTGCAATAAAATGGGGAAACAGGACGCCACCTGTTGCGCTCTCTGTCACACATCGCGGGTAGCGAGCGAGTGTTTAACATTATATGATATAGAACTTTACCATATGTATAAAAACTACCCCCGTGGAAAAATCGTGAAAATTGGACATATAGTTCAAAAATCGTTCAAAATGTCCTTTGAAATATTTGTATTACAAGGATACGCGGGAACAGTGAACTCACCATTTTAAAAAAAATTGTTAAAGACGGTTAAAAAAAATCTGTGTTTGTGTTATTATAAATACCTACTCAATACTCTTATAAATCGAAACTTACGTATTAGAGCATTTGTCTTTTCAGCCTCTTCTTTCTCCTTGTTTGCTGCTTCTATTAGGAGTTGTAGGAAATCGCTCTTCCTGTAATAAGATTATATTAAAAGAAACAATAAATATAATCAGTCTTATTATAAAAGTAGTTTATAGCTAATCTCTGGCTAAAACTAAGCCCCGTTTTAATAAAGAAGTCCCGCCGATATGGTAACGATACGGTACGATACGGTAAGCGAATTATATAGTATACTTAGAACTTGACAGATGTCAAATTTTGCGAAGACTGTGACGCTAGACTAAGGAATGTTCAATGGGAAAGACTTTTCTTAAATCATAGTTTAAACCCAGGACTATCGCTAAACCGCGTTTCGTAATAAGACTCAGACATAAGATTTCGTTCTCGTTCAGGGGCAGAACTCTTTAGATTTCTTTCTTCTTTGAAACAGGATAGGGTCCACCTGCGCGGCTCCAATGGTTTTTGATATCCTTACAAGTAGATTTTTAAAATATGTTTTATAATTTCTCAGACACGCAGCAGAATTTCTTACGTTTTTAATCGCCGACGCAAAAACAGGGGTGTTATAAGTTTGACCGCTATGTGTGTGTGTCTCTGTCTGTAGAACCTTAGCTCTTAAATAGGGGTGTTATAAGTTTGACCGCTATGTGTGTGTGTGTCTCTGTCTGTAGAACCTTAGCTCTTAAATAGGGGTGTTATAAGTTTGACCGCTATGTGTGTGTGTCTCTGTCTGTAGAACCTTAGCTCTTAAATAGGGGTGTTATAAGTTTGACCGCTATGTGTGTATGTCTCTGTCTGTAGAACCTTAGCTCTTAAATAGGGGTGTTATAAGTTTGACCGCTATGTGTGTGTGTCTCTGTCTGTAGAACCTTTGCTCTTAAATAGGGGTGTTATAAGTTTGACTGCTATGTATGTGTGTGTGTGTCTGTCTGTAGAACCTTAGCTCTTAAATAGGGGTGTTATAAGTTTGACCGCTATGTGTGTGTGTCTCTGTTTGTAGAACCTTAGCTCTTAAATAGGGGTCTTATAAGTTTGACCGCTATGTGTGTATGTCTCTGTCTGTAGAACCTTAGCTCTTAAATAGGGGTGTTATAAGTTTGACCGCTATGTGTGTGTGTCTCTGTTTGTAGAACCTTAGCTCTTAAATAGGGGTATTATAAGTTTGACCGCTATGTGTGTGTGTGTCTCTGTCTGTAGAACCTTAGCTCTTAAATAGGGGTGTTATAAGTTTGAACGCTATGTGTGTGTGTCTCTGTCTGTAGAACCTTAGTTCTTAAATAGGGGTGTTATAAGTTTGACCGCTATGTGTGTGTGTGCTCTGTTTGTAGAACCTTAGCTCTTAAATAGGGGTGTTATAAGTTTGACCGCTATGTGTGTGTGTGTCTCTGTCTGTAGAACCTTAGCTCTTAAATAGGGGTGTTATAAGTTTGACCGCTATGTGTGTGTGTCTCTGTCTGTAGAACCTTAGCTCTTAAACGGGTGAACCGATTTGGTTTTTAAATTCAAAAACAGGTTTTCTAGCGGTGGTTCGTAAGACTTGTTTTATCAAAATCTATTCAACCGCTTTAAGATCATCAGCTCTTTTTGTTTCGGGGGTTTTAAAAATGTACAATTTAATTATTTTTTATGTCCAAGTACGTGTTAATCACCAAAAATTGCAAGGAACAATTTCATAGATGTCTGTGGCACTTCAACTTAAAGTTTACCACTTTAAATTTTATGACTCGTTAAAGGTTACTTGAAGTCAAAAACTTTCAGTGATTTCTACCGGCAACTAATACAACAATGTATATATAAAAGCTATCCCGCAACACAAAACATTTCTGTTAAATGACTTACGTTGATTCAAATTATATTTTTCTTTACACTTTGAAAATGCAAAGTTTTCAGATGTAAAGGAAAATAGGTTGATTTTCTATTAAAATATTAGTGGCACACGCTGATTTCGTGAGTTCCATATAAGTCTTTTTATAGGATAGGGTGACAAACGAGCACACAGTCCACCTGATGGTAAGTGGTTGCTGTTGACATCTATCCTCGATTACGAATCAAAATGCAGATGTGTTGTCATCCGTGAGGACTAAGATGGAATGCCTCGTTTACAGTAAAAAGTATCTCCGATTCTCTACACTCAACATACGAAACACAGCAGCATTAAGCTACTATTTGACGCTGGTATTCTGTGAGAGCGTGGTCCTTCCCCGGTCGAGCCGACCCATTCGTGCTACAACTATACTACTAATATAACTGCAGCATAGCTCTACCACATATAAAATAAAAAAAAAAATTACTAATAGCCAACAACCAATTTAATTAACTTATTTTGAATCTACATAGATAATATGATGTCTTACTTAGATTCAGCTTTCCTCCTTTCCGCTTTTGTGATTTTTAAGATATTTACTAATTCTTCTGCTACCTCAGGGTTCAAGAACGATATATTCATGTATTTCATCAATTGCGGCAAGAGCATAATAAAAACTATCAACACGATCTTTCGTGAAGGCGATACGTATCCAAATCGTTCAGCTAGCTGGAATCATTAAATAAATACAGTCCATATTTAAAAATTTAAGTAGGTATCTATCTGCAACTTTTGTATTTTAATGCCGTTGTAGTTTCGCAATACGTTGTTCCTATGTATTGCGTAGTAGCTTACGATACGACATTTGAGTATTATTGGACACAATAGCAGGCCTCTATCACTCTTGCTACCTACGTGAAATAATTACCTAAAATCGCGACGCGCCCGGGCGAAATAACGCAGTCAGGGCTAGCGCGTTGGAGGCGATTGAATGTTAAAGTTTTTTAACGCTGTTTACGTATATAACTTTTTGTAAATATTGTTGAAATAATATTTTTATTTTATATTTATATATATATATTTTTGTTTAGTGTTTAGTATATTTAATTATAGGATAAAATAGTTCAAAAGTTTTAATGTAATTTAAGAACTATATATTATGTATATTACCCATTATTTAATAAATTTTAATATGGCAAAAAGTCGTTCCTACTATAATTGTTGCGTGGATAGACGCTAAATGACCAACAAAATATTTCAGATATATCATTCTTTATTACCGAAGGATTTTCGTAGGAAGTTATGAAACGTGAATTTATTTAATTTTTATTGTTAGATAGGTACTTATAGCAAAAAATAATTAAGTAATAATTTATTTAATATCTACGAACTTTATTACAAAATTTAGCAGAAATTTACTTCACTATCCAAGTATCTACATACGTACATATACTTGCCTTTTGTATTAAAATATTTTAAGCTGTTATTTTAGCTTAAAACATTTTAAGCTAAAATAATACAAAACACTGATATCAAAACTTTGATTACCAAAAAAATTTTTATTTGATCTGTAAATAGAAGTGTGCATAAATCGTAGATAAATGAGCATATATTAATACATATTATTATTATATATTATACTTGCATGTGCTTTTAATATATTCTTGACAGCCCTAAGTAACCACGGAAAAACAGCCGTGATGTGGCAATGGAAAAAGATGCAAAGTAATATGGACACTCGCGCGCAGCGATAAAGGTTTATTTAGTTTGCGTGCAAAATTTATCTTATTAATAATAATTATGTATGCCATTAAACGTCGGCAAGCAGTCAACATCAAAAGAGTGAAACTTCTGTACGTAGTACTATTATTTATTCTGTGATAATAGTGGGAAGTTTGGATGTTTTATTTAAATTAAAAAAAAATGTAAAATTTTCTGTGTATTCACCAATTTTATTTAACCACAGCAATATTTTATAATGATATGAAAATTGTATACATTTCAATAATGATCATGGCTATAACTAAGTCTGATTGGCCTCTTGGAAAAAGCTGATAATATAATATAATGGGTCGAACTACTTTATATGGTGTTAAAGTTTACAACTGAAAATAATTATTTGGAAATATTCAAAATATTTAGTAGCGCACTGACGAAGCTTTCGGCTGCGGATCCTGAATACGACTTCCACTCAAAACTTGTACTTGTATAGGCTACAAATTATTGTTCAGGTGATGTTTATCCACGAGCCATTTTTTCTCTGTATCATTCCTCATTTGTTCATCATAGGAAAAATACCTAGTGCAGATCCCTTTGTGCAGATCGCTTAGTCATCATCATCACAACCCTTCACAAATCTAGTACTGAACACAGTCTTCCCCAAGGAATACCACAAATCACAGTCCAGAGTCGCCTGCAGACATCAACTTCCTGCATCTTCTAAACTTCCAAATAGAAAGTTAATAATTACATTTAAACAAGAATATCTTAAGAAGTTACTACACACATACTACGTGCACAAATACAATATGCAGATAATATTCATATATCAGTATCATACACAATACCTTGACAAAGTTTGCGTTTTCATCAGTGAGAGCATCAGTTTTTATTCCAAAAGCACATGCGCCTATCACTTCCAATGTTAAATGCCCTACTAAATCTTTCATTTCAACGTCACTTTTGTCTAAAAATAGTACACATAATATATTAATTTCAAAATCAATAAACATTTTATCAAATACGAGCAAAATAATTTAAAACCTTTTTGGTTTTATTTTTAAACTTGTTTTATTTTTTAGTATAGTTTAAGTGCACCTGTGTACATTTTATAACACTATTATTTAAATGCAAACCACAACTTGTAGTGTTGTTACTATCATCATTAACTTTATAAAGAAGTTTGAACTTGAGGTAGCGTGAAATCTTACAACTTTGCCCTTGGGGGACATCTTTGCCCAAACACGAAAATTAACTAAAACTACCGATAGACATTTTATTTTAACAAATGTCAACTTTGTACGGTGTCTAGGGAAAACTAGAGTATCTGTTTGACAGCACTGACTACTACAATCGCAGCTAACTATATTCAGGCATCCGTCAGCAACCGTCAAAGGGACAGTGTCGAAGGTGGTGCAAAAACATTGTTGCAGTTTTGCATCCCGCATTGCCAAGAAACGCTGCGCAGGTAAGATTCATTATTATTTACGTGTAGAGCATTAATTGTTGCTGCTTTTAATCAAGGTCTCTTTCTTACACTTGTCTTAGCGAGAAAATTGTGAGGGTAATGTTGTAAGCAATTTTATAAACTGAGATCGACAAAATTGCCCAGCTCAAAAATGTTATTAGGGTTGACACTATTGAAAAAATAAACAAGGAAACATGTACCTAGGTATAATAAATAAAAATTATATATATGTAATAAAATGTAAATATATAGGAATACTTAATAAAATAAATAAATGTATATAAAAAAACTGTATAACAATAACTACTGTTAACTGCAAACTAAACTACTGTTCTGATAACTATATAGGTAACTAGATACTGTTTTACATGTTATTTTAAATATAATAAATAGGTATGTATTTGTGGGGAATTTTTGTCAGAAACCGCTAGTTTTCCAAAAGAGAGAGCTTAAATGTTTTCAGTTTCAAGCTAAAGTTTTTAAATAATATTTATGCGGCAATTCGTTTGCAAAAAAATTTAAGTCTAAAAGAGAATCGTCTCCTCAACGACAGACATTAACGATCGCAGACAAAAATGGCCGACAAAATGGATTGGTACGCACAGTAGGTGAACCACGCACATCAGTGGTAACAGTATAAGCTGGGCTCGTATTATGTTAAATAAGTATCGTCGCTGTCTACTTTTCCTTATCTCAACTATCAGGGTTAATTTCTGAGACAACTTTCTAGAACTTTCCTACCTAAACATTGATTTTCTTGATTTTTTTTTTGTTGTGCAGTTAGTTTTTGTTTTTAATTTTTAAAATAAAATATACATTATTGCCTTAAAATCAGTTTATTATTTTCCTTTCATCTGATGCACAGCCCTAGCACCTCAAATCTCTTAGTATGAAAGTGTGACTAAATGTGGTTGCCCACCGCCATTAAAAATGGACTTCTATTTATTTGAAAATGTAATGGTATACCATTTTGCCGGTTTGCTAACAATATATCTTAAAATTAAAGTCATAGAACTTATAGTTGCTGAGAAATTTAGGTTGAGCAAAGATGTAAGAAAGTGGAGATAACTTTGACTGCGTCCGTTTTTGTTTTTTTCTCAGCATCTGTTAGGAATTATGTCACCTGGTTTTGACGGTTTATTTGTTGCATAGTGTCATTTAAAGCTTCAGCAACCATCAAAAAATGTATCAAAGTAACCATCAAATAGCTATTTTTTGAAAAAAGTAATAAAAACCGAAATATGTGGGCAAAGTTGTAAGGTTTCACCATACTTAAAAATGTCCATCTAAAAAAGCTTGATTTTCAAGTAAAATTTTCATCCACAATTCCATTTTTAGAGATAGTTATTTACTTATTTTATACGTGGTAGAGCCATACTGCAGTTATATTAGTAGTATAGTTGTAGCACGAATGGGTCGGCTCGACCGGGCAAGGACCACGCTCGCACAGAAAACCAGCGTGAAATAGTAGCTTAACGCTGCTGTGTTTCGTATGGTGAGTGTAGAGAACCGGAGACCCTTTTTACTGGAAAAGAGGCATTCCATCTTAGTCCACGCATCTGTATTTTGATTCGTGATCGAGGATAGATGTAGATGTCTATGGGACGCAGCAACAACTTACCATCAGGTGGACTGTGTGCTCGTTTGTCACCCTATCCTGTAAAAAAAACTTATTTTGTCTAGACAACTATTTAATAATTCATCAGTAGTACATATATTATGTATTACAAAAAGCATTTTCGGCTCTAGCAGTCATCGGCACGAAGCAGCACCAATCCATGCTATGCCATTTTTAATGAATTTATCTATTCTTTGTATGAAACAAAATATGATAAGTATATAATGTGCTTTAATATATTCGGCTATATCACCATTTACCATAAGATGGGATAATAGTCAAGAACTGTCTTATAATTAAGAAGTAAACTTACCATATTGCTGCAGAAATTTAACCATTTGGTCTGCACTTTGCTGAATGAGCGGAAACATGTTTTTCAGGCGTGCGGAACTGAAAGCTGGTGTGATTGCGCTGCGGATAATTTTCCATTCTGATCCCTTGGATAAAATCGAAATGCATTAAATTAGTTATTTTATAACTTATTTACTGGTATAAATATTAAACTAGTATTATTTCCGATTTATACGATAAAATAATTGTTTTTAAAATGCTAGTCTTATAATTACCTTCAAATTAATTAAAGAGCGTTTTAAATATCTAGGCTCATTACTGTCTATTGAGTTCCTGTCCACAAAATGTTCAAAATCGCGTATGGCTATAGCTTTTATAAGGTCAGGGTCAAAAATGTACAGAGTTGGTCTTCGTCCCTCAAATATTCCTGAGAAATAATGTTTTGTTAAAAATAGTGTAAGGAATATACAATACCTGGATGCTAATGAATTTCCAATGGATAACTGCAAAGGAAATCAACAGACATATAGGAAACGCTTGGAAGCAATACTGCAGGCTAAAGGAAATAATGAAAAACAAAGGTACTGGCATGACCATCAAACACAAACTCTTTGACAGTTGTATTTTCCCAGTCCTCACATATCCTGCCAGTCCTGGGCCCTCACCAAAACCTATATTAGAAAACTAGAAATTTGTCAAAACGCCATGAAGAGAAGCATAATGGAAAAAAGATTATCTGGTAGAGTAAAAACCACAACCATAAAGAAACATACAAGAACAAAAGATGTGACAGTCACCACAAAGAAGTTTAAATGGAGATGGACAAGATGTTTGGAGAACAGACACATGGAATAAAATAATAATGTATTGGTACACAAGATTCAAGAAAAGGAAAAGAGGTAGGTGATGTGGTGATGAGATCAAAGTAGTAGCTGGCAACATATAGACCAGAACAGCTGGAAATACATAGTTGTGGAAAAAATTGGAGGAGGCCTTTGCCAAAGAAAGGCAAACAGATGGATTATAGAGACAAGTAAACAAAAGCTAAATAGAAAAAAAAGACATTTATTTGACGTTATTTTAACCTTTATTATTAACTTTTTTTGTATCAATGTATTTGAATAAAGGGCCATTATTATTATTATTTTTGTGATATCTATATAGTTTTATCTGGTTGGGTTCTAAATATATTTTAGAACTATATTTATTTTTTATTATGTATGTATGTATGTATGTATGTGTGTAATATATTTATATTATTTTTATGAAATATATTTTATTTGGGTTAAAAATATATAAACTGTAAATGAGAATGATATACATAAATATCAATAAAATGAAATAAATACATAACTACATAACCGACTGTTTCATACCCGCCTCATCGATACCAATGTTCTGTGACATACCTAGTTATTGCTATGTTTCAGCCTCGGGAAGGGTCATTAAGTTAATGGGCATAGACAAGTCTATGCCCTCAGAATTAGTAACGGATAAGTGTGCGGTCATCACTTTCAACATGGATGACCGCACACTTATCTGTCAGAAACTCCATGCTGATGGAATTGCTGAATTCACAAGTGATGTTCAGCAACTCCAAATTTAAAACTAAAAATACTAATTAAAAATAATCACACAAATTCCTAGTTGTCAATCAATGCGACCTACACAATGCTTAAAAACATTCTTTTAAGAAATCACAAAAGAAAAATAATCAACCTTAATAATGCTTGTAAATAAAAACTTCATTTTGTTCTTACCATAATGATGCGACTCCAACTATGTTTTATTTCACTCGAGTGAATTTGTCCAACTCGATAATCGATAGAAAATAAAATTTACCGAGTTACCGATTTAACTCGGCGCATCGTATAGATTCAGAGGGTGCTATATAGATATTACTTCACTAATTTACTATATATAATAAAGTCGCTGCGGGTGACATCACAAGTTGCATCCAAATACAAACTTGCATCTGGCATGTTGTAAACAAACCTGAACTTAGTTTGATTTATGATATTGATTTATAGTTTTAATTTCATGTTGCCACATATTACTTATTTATAAAGGTATATATTTAAAAATGGTTTAACTGAAGTAATCGCTACTCTCAACTCTAGTGATAAACTTTTCTGTAAATAGTTTATTTACTCAAAAACTAGTGTACAACTAGAATGACATACATACCTACTCGTAAATTAACCCGAGTGGCTCGAGTCACAAAACTCTACTCGAATCGCATCTTTATCTTACGGCCAATGCAGTGTTTTTCTACAATTTAGTGATGAAATCGACTTACTAATTCGAGCAATTTATTGATATATTATGTAATAAATAAATTGATATTGGGTAATACGTTTATAATGTTGTATCAATTAATGTTATATATAATATAAATTGATTATATATAGGTACTTTGGATAGTCAAATTATTAATAACATTAAGATTTACGTCATAACGTTAGAGTGATATTATTTTATGAAGATTGTCGATAAGAATACCAAAAATAATATATAACTACCCATTAAGTGTAGTAATAATAAATGTGTTGTATGGAAGAACAATTATAAAAATAATTTTTGACAAATTGACACAGCTTCGTTCATCTAATTCGAATTGCGTAACTCGAGCTCAAATTCGAGTTACCTGAATTTCAACTCGAGTCGATTTTTTCCGAGTTATCACGGCACATCTCTAAGATAATAATTTTTAAATATTACATTACCTTAGCCAATGATCACAACACGAATCACGAATGTCAAAACAACAAATTTTTTTTTTCAGATTTCTTGTTTCTTGTAGGCCATTTATTATTATAATTTGGTGTCTTTTTTTGGTGTAAATACCATTATACGACGTTAATATTTCTAGTGGGCCCAAAAATGATTGTCTCCTTTAAACTAAGGTTTAAGAAAATATGGATATTATCAATTATCAGGAGGTTAGTTAGTCTCTTTTTATTTTTTGTGGTAAAATTGGCAAATAGAATATAAGAGTTTATTAATTTACACCTAGGTATACTAGGTTGTGAAAGGTCTTAGAACCTTATTAGTTTTTTTTAAGTGACGAAGTTTATTTTATTAGTAAAATCTAAATTAAATAATAAATAGAATTAATGCACAAAAGAAGTTATTATAATGTTAAAAGAAAATTAGAATCTTTGGGTCGAGGGACTTAAAGTGGGTTTTGAAGAGCAATTCATATAACTGCATTTGTGTACAAATAAGTACATTATGTATTCAGCAAGTTGCTTACTAAATGGCTTTTTTGTTAAGCCAGACACGGATCCTGGATTTATACCAGCCATAGTAGATAGGCAATATAAATGTTACATATATTTATGTGTAAAAAATGTAGTAATTATCTGTACTAGAAGCAAATATAAAGTTTCTACTATTCCATTATAGACAAAACATAAGAAACCATCCAACCAATTTCAATGAAAATGTTTGTGTGTGTTTAGATGGATCCCTAGATGGTTTATATTTACATTTGGACCCGGTAGATGGCACTGTTGTCGAGATCCATAAATCACCAGTGCACAGCTGAGGCGCATCGCTAGCAATAAATACATTTAAATTAATCCTGTGTTTTTGTAATCCTTACACAAACAGTTTAAAACATCTTACTTCCTTACAATTTATCAGTGTGTAATAACATAGATAAGGCATGTTAATTCCTAGTCATTTTATTATGATGTATGGTTGCGCGGAATACCATTCGTATTTATTTTATATTTGACGGTAGGTGCTAAATCGGTTATCCCATTCCAAAACGATATCATTCATCATACCCTCCTATCGACACATCGGGGTGGTGGGGTGGGAGGGGAAAGAAGATGATTCTAGAACATCACGTAATCATCGGAACCGAGGATATATAAGGCACGCGCGACCGACGCGCAGCCTCTTCCCGCCGCGCTCGTCGTTGAAACCACACCGCTAGTAGAAACCGCTTTAGCCTGGAAGCAATCGAGCTCCAGGAAACCCGCCTCACCTCGTGTGAGATATAGTCGCGCACCGCCTCTCTCCGGAGTGTTCCAGAAGAAGTTCCAGAAGTCGCAGTTATAGTGCTCGACCGCATAGAAGAAACATCCCGGTGAGTCAACATTTTCCTAATAGTATAGCCTGCTTGATATAATTGTTTTAACCCGCTCCAATTTTGTGTTTTCCTAATCAAGCAGGATTCCTTTCATCGATTTGGCGAATAATAGTTCGTTTTTAGGGAAGAGCGAGTGCATTGTACCGCATATATAAGTGTAGAAACATTTAGTAGATACAGTCCACTTAGATTAACAGCTCGCGTAATAGGTTTAAGGTTCGACCGGGGAATTAGACTTCGGCAACCTTAGACACGTGGCTCCACCATTTTATGGTCCTTCGAGCCGGATTTGCACTGGTGTTTAGTGGTCATCCAACCATTTTCTGGTCGAATAATTAGTGTTCGTAAATAGTGTAAATAGTGTTCGTTTAAATTTAAATTTTGATTAGGCACTCGCAAACAGAATTGTTTATTTCATAGCGCTCGTATTTGGTTAAATTTAAAGCTTTAAAATTGAAACAGTGTGATAGAAACCGTTTGGTACGCTTACCCGACAATTTGATAAAACTATTGAATTACCGCAACGAGCAACGCGTCATCTCGACTCGACTGCAACAGGTGTTCGATTTAATTACGTAATACGGCATACCGAGTGTCCATCGTCCATCGTTTATGCGTGTGAGATTAATTGTGATTAATATAACTTCACTATAATAATTTAAAATGGCAGTTAGTGGAAATGAATTTAAAATTAAAACGCTTTATGCCAAGAGGGACGTACTTTTTTCACGTATACAAAGCATTAGCGATCACGTAAAGAACATTAATGTAGAAGCGGTGCGGGAAACTTTTCTGAATGAAATTGAAACGGTGGATTCTTTGCGGACGGATTACGAAAGAATATTAGACCAAATTAATCATTTGGAATTACAAATCGACCCGAAATACATAGTGAACTACCAACCGCTGCTGGCATTCGAAGATATGTTGTGTCGCGTGAAAAGAACGGTAAAACACCTACAATCTCAATGCGAAGCAAAGCCGGAATTACAGGTACGTCCTCGTGACTCAATTAGGTTGCCGCCAATAGATATTCCGGTATTCAATGGTGATATTAAGACGTGGCCCTTCTTCTTCAGTAGTTTTGAAAAAAAATGAAAAATTATATTACTTAATTAGTAAACTTAGTGGCAGGGCACAGTCGATCTGCTCTGGTTTTACACCTACAGCAAACAATTACTTATTAATATTCGAAACGCTTAAAACTAAATATGAAGATAGGAGAATGTTAGCTTCCGAATATTTGAACCAGATATTCGATCTTAAACCTATATCATCCGCGAACATCAACGGCTTAGAGCAGTTTTTTGATAAATTTGTGGCAT